AGAGAGAGAGAGAGAGAGAGAGAGAGAGAGAGAGAGAGAGGCCTTTTTACTTGTTTGAGGGAAATGGATAATGAAAGGCATTTTCTCTTATCGAGATAAAGGACTTTCTTTTTTGAATGAAAGTATTTACAAGTGCACCTTTTCTGCTATCTCATAAAGTAAATGATAAAAAGGAAATAAAAAATCAAGGAGACATTTGGAATTGACGTTAGTAACATTGTATAATCTAAAATCAATTTTATTATATTGTGATGAGTGTGCTATGCAGACATTCTGCTCTCCTCTCTTTTCATACTTTTAAATGTCTTCTTTTTTTTTGAAATGCTTTCATGCAAGTTACGTTTGAAATGAGACTCTTTTTGAGAGACCTAATAGCCAGGTAAATGTCTCCTCATTTTTCACTAATAATCCATAACACTTCTCTTCCTTCAAACATTCCCTTTTTTTTATATAGCAATTAACTGAATGGGAATGAAAATTTCTTATCGGGGGAAGTTCTTTATTAAAATATCATTAGCTTCCCAAGATTTCATGCATCAGACAACTCAAAATATCTCTTTATTTTTTACCTTCCCTCCCTCTCTCTCTCTCTTTCTCTTTTTTCCACTTCTGAATTACTTCTTTCTAAATAGTATTATCAAGTTCTGGAAAAAATTTATTTGCAAGTTGTCCTAATTACAATAAACTGGTTCATAAATTCAAATAAGGTACAATTAATAAAATTATCCAGAAAGTTAAAATCATATCTTACTTTACTCATATGTCATCAGTTGGTTCATTACTTTTTACCAATTCTTGAATGTAAGGAGCTAACGCAATCATTCGTTTAAATTCCTCAGTGCTTCGCTTTTTCCAAATTTGCGCTCAGCGCCTTAGCAGACAATTCAAAAATATCAAATACAACTAAACATAGCTACCAATTTTTTATCAGCACTTAAATGTTACTTCTATTTTAACTTTCCTTATCAATTACTCAGTCATTTTTGATGACATCCTCTCTATCGATTACTCTGATAAGGTTACATGAAAATCAGTGATGCCACCAGTGTAACATACAAAGGTGAATATGTCTGTCAATTGCTGGTCGAAATAATTTATGAATTACTCCCGGGAACAATATAAAAAAGTACATGTAGTTGTTGTTACTAACTGTTGATAGTAATATCAATACTATGGTCAGTTACTGATTATCACGGAATACATAGCTACCTAAAGGTGAAATGTATTTCTTTTTTCTAATACAATCAACAGTGATTGATTTATCCTGTCTCGACAATGATAACAAATGAAGGGAGAAAGTCTCATGCCTTTTAATGAATGCTTAATTACTGTAATAGAGTGGAACTAAATAAGTATCATTTAGTTTCTCTCGGTTAGTAAATATCTCATCAAGCAATTATTGTCAAGTGTTCATTATCAAAACCTTCTTATTCTTCAACTTGAGAACTACAGGAGGCAAGATGTAATTAGATGAAAGACAACGATGGCGAAATGGAAAGAAATGAGAGGTGAGAAAAGTTTGAAATAAAATGAGAGAAGAAAAACAAGTTTTTAAAGTTTTTTTGCTACATTCATCAGTAAACTTCCCAGAAATTTTGATTCAATTAAAACAATTTCGAGTATCTAATTTTCTTTCCTTCTTACCATAACTTAAATTTGACAAGGCCGACACTAACCGAAGTACGGCGCTATTTATTATCACTGAAAAAATTTTCAAAACTATCTAATATCACGAAATATTTTTCCGAATATTTGCTGGAATCTAGTCGCTCTTTTTTTAGCACCTGACAATAATTTTTTCCATGCGCAAGTATCATCTATACTATATAATCATAATCATTGTGAACCGCAGCCTAGAATGACTATAATTTCGCCTAGCAAGATGATAATTGATAATTTGGATTGCGCCTTCAAACATGACAACGACATTTTGAGATAGAATATTGTTAAAAAGATGATTATGTACAATTATTTTCTAGATTAAGCCTGGATGTGGTTGTGATATAAATATAACCGTAGAACAACAAAATTATATTGCATACGATGATGACAAAACGTGTCTTACGTGTTATCTGAATCTAAATGCAAGCGTAACCTGCGAAAATTTTCTGTTCGGTTCCTATGATAACTTTTACATTTTGATTTTACTAATTCTATTAGTCCTAATTAGCTAGCACAAATAACTTTCCTGATACTCATTTTTTGACCAAAACTTAATGAACCATTAGATGATCAGATAAAACATTGAATGCTATGTATAGGAATATATAATCGTGTTTAGTTATCTGAATTGAGACTTGTCACTTATATCGAGTTAGGTGACAGGAGAGATTAAAGGAATTAAGGAGTGGCTAACTGAAGATTTAGAGATGAAGCGAATTAACTGTTACTCTAAAATCACATTAATTTATAATTTACGACGACAGAGCAGTTCATTACCATGGTATAGATGAATGACCAGACGAGTAGTGAAATGGAAGACCAGTGTCCACTATCCAAATTTAGTGCATTAGCAATTAAAGATGTATTCCATTGCTTCATTCCTTTGAAACAAATCTTCCAGTGCTCTTAGAGACCTCATCAATCACAAGTGCCTTTTCTTCTGAATTCACGTGTTTGATAAGGAATCTTATATTCATATCGCCAAGAATTTGTCTTCCGTCCCCATGGATTTTACACAACTTCTTTTCTGTTCGGTTAAGAATCGAAATCATTTCTGATAACATTTAAAAAATTACGGGAAACAAGTTATTAGTTAGTGATTGATAGCATTTGTGCGCAAACTTTTTGTAAAGCAGATATGGAATATTTGAAAGAGAAGTGCTACTGCTACTATGATCACAATGATATCTTCCAATAGAATATTGAAGAGAAAAGTGAGTAAAGACATAGAAGAATTGGGTGGAAAATGTTTAGTAGTAATATATCAGTGAAAATAAGCAATAAAAAAGGATAAAAGAATGCAAAGGACTGATAGGATCGAATAATAAAAAGATATCAGTAAAGAATGGACTAGAAAGATAAAATATTCCTGCGACTCTTCAAAATGATGACATATATTGTGGTAGCAGAATGCAACAAAAAGGATACTTTTGTTGGGAATTTGAAAAGTAAGTAGAAAGTAGTACCAGTTGTGCAATTCAATATTAATGCAAAGAGAGAAATCCGATGTTCAATATCTTGAGATATGTCATTAAATAAATATTATTTTGTATTAATTGAAATCATATTCCGTATTTTGTGTGTGTGTGTGTTTTTTTTTGTTAGTGAATTATCTATTTTATACTTAAACAGTGTAAGCTAAAAAAAAAGGAAAAAATGACATTTTTTTATTTTTGTTCGAAATGATTTTGTAAAGTAACTTACCAATATCTAGGATGCTAAATTTAATTCAAGAGGAAATTTTGGAAAAAAGTTAACAGCCTTAAAAATGAGAAACGTAATGAACGGTCATCGGAAATTGACAACGAGGGGGAGGAGTTATCGAAGTCAATCCTTTAATAACTAACTATACAAAAAAAACCCGAAGAACTCAACGTAAACTGTTCTACGATAGTTTGCCATTTGAAGCAATGAAAAAAAGCTCTGCAACTGGGAATATTTCATCAGCTGATTAATCTCTGTTACTTTATGCAACATTAAAAATCTTTTTACAATAGATGTGACATCGAACGAAAATTGGATTGTATACGACAACGACGATTAGCATAATATGCTTGAAACAAGACACCAAAAACTGTTTAGCATTCTGTTGCCATCACAGTCTTCCAGAAGGAACCATTATATTTGGTATTACTACTACTTTCCGTAGAAGTCAATTATATATGAGATCGATAAGATGCCCCAGGAAGTTATAACCTCCTTAATCAACATCGTCAAATAGATAGAGATCATTTCTTCTCCTAAGATAACACGCCAATGACCGTATCGGACAACCAATGCTTCAAAAGTTGAAAAATCGAGTGAATTTTTACTTTATTTCTGTCTGACCTTTCATTACCGACATTACTTACTTATACTTCTTCAATTATCTCGATAACCTTCTCAACAATGCTTCCACAATCAGTACCATTTCAAAAATCTTTTGTAAAAATTTTGAAATCCCGAAATATGAATCTCAATTTCCCACTGATGTCATTATTCCTGTTTCAATTTTTTATGGCTAAATGCAATTATAAAATTAAAAATTGACGTAAACACAAAGATTTCTATATTAATCTAAAATAAGGAATTCCAGTAATTTCTATACTATGCAAGCACTGATGATAGACGAAAGAGATAGCAACAATATGAATGAGAACATATTTACTTTCAGGTAAGTAAGTATTGAAAGATGAAGTCACTGAGTAATTAATTATAAAGGTATAACAGGAAATGACATTGCTCAATAGTTAAGATGAATAATGACAGAGAATAAATAAGCAATGTAAGAGATGAGGTGTAATGCATTAATTATATCAGATTAACCTGTCCGAATTATTGCACAAAAGGTGCAAAAATTATCAATGGCTTTTTCATGAGGTACATATCAACTAATATATCTAAATTGTTCTTTGCAATTGTAGCCAAGAAGAAAACTATCCATATATAAGGAAATGATTAATGTTCATGGATCAGTATGAAATTAGGCACAAAAAAAAGCATGAAATGATCGTGCCGTATCCGGAATTGAGTGATACATTTATTATCCGTTTGAATAAACGTTGACAATAAAAATAAAAGAGTTAATGAAGTAAAATGAATGAGTACAAAATTCTTTTTCCATCTACTCCAAGCCATCCCGGTCAAACGAACGGACAGACCGATTATCCCACCCAGACATGACAGACATGCATCAATATGCATGCAAGCAAGCAGATGCCTGCGTCTGCGTGGGCATATGTCTGTCTGAGTGTTACGTTACACATTCCATCTGGGAAAATGGCGAGATGAGTGGGACAATAGTTATGTTGGGTATTGTGCTGCGGAAGGAGTGTGGTTGATTTGGGAATGAATAGGGGTGTGCATTATGGTTCATTAGATAGGCCTTATTATCATTTTCTTTGGATTAATATCATTCAGATATGATCAGACCTGATATGACACGACCATCATCCATGATGCTTAAGTTAGTAGCGTACCACTTCCACCTGCTTGCTTTTCCATATGCATCACATATTCGTTCATTCGTCTGTGCGCTCTAAGCAAGAGCTGCCATCACTCTCTTTCCCCTTTCTAACGCCTTTTTTTCTTTTTTTATTTCACGCATTTTGCACTAACTCCACCATCCTACAATATATTTTTATATGTACGCGATACTTATATCACATCAATAGACAGACAGAAAGACGGACAGACAGACAGATGCAGACGACGTCTCTCAAGATACATACATGCATGCAAACGAATGTATATGTGTGTATTGATCGCTTATAAATAAATGTATTTCATAGTTTTGTTGTGTTCTGGATGCAACTTTCTGCTTGCTTTGCTCTTTTCCAGGACCCTCGCAATGATGGATGGACAGGCGTAACGACGGCGGACGGACGAACGGACGGCGGAACGGACGAACGAAATGGATGGACGAATGGACAGATGGATGGATGGACGAATGGACAGATGGAATGGATTGATCGGACGGACAATGAATGGATGAACGGATCGGCGGATGAATGAATGAACGGATGGACATGCGGATGAAATCCTCGAGTAGTTGGGATTTAATTGGAGACGATGTCTTGCTAACAAAAAATCCTTGTATTATGAATGTGAACTGTATCAATATTCAATTATTATTGCATCAGTTAGAATCTGTTGGCGAATCGTTTGAAGTATTTCAATTCAACAGTATTTCATTCTTTTTTTTTCCTGTTTCTTTTTTTTTATCCAAATGCAGGTTGATAAATGCAAAATTTTTCTGTAAAGAAAATATTGATAAATTCGATGCCCAAATATTAGATTTGCATATTTAACGGAATTATTGAAATGGTGATTTGCTGGAATACACAAAGAAGACAAGGCAAGGTAAAGTAAAGGAAGCTTTTTGAACAAGCTGATATGGAAACAATGATAAGAGCTCGAGGAGAAGATGAGATCATTTATATTTTTGGAATAACTTGAAGATAAGTGTTAGAATCGCGTTGTAGTTTCGTTTTTCTTTTTCTGATCTCACGAGTATGAATGAAAAATGACAGAAACTTCAGTCTATAGTGAGCATATTTTCATATATAGTGAAGAATGAAGGAAAAAAGAAATCGAAATGTAATTGTCCTTTCTCTTCTTTCAATCCAATTTTACTCTTGAATTCACTCACATCTTCTGAATCATCTATCTTATCAAACCTATTAATGTATATCAAATATCATTTATCTCCTTAATTTGGCTAAGGTTTGTTTCATTTTTCTTCCCATTATAAAAACTTTTCGAATTTCATACTGTCCATCGTTATCTAAAACGCCCATTTTAAAGGCTGGAATTATGGCGCATTTATTGCGTAAATTCTAATTCAAAAGAAAAAAGGAAGATCAAAAGTTAATAAGATATTTTAACTAACAAACTATAATAATGAAAAATAAAGCAATAAGGAAAGAGAATATGCATAAAAGAGGGAGATAAACAGTAGGTGATGGAGTATTGATGCAATTTTTGAAAACACATTGAGGGATTTTTCAAATTTAAAAAGAAAATATGGTTGATATGATTATAAAACAACAAAATGAAGTTTTAGACTGTGGGAGAAAAGTAAATAAACAAAAAGTGGTGGGAGAACATCACACACACACACACAGACACACACACACACACACAGACACACATACACACAGACACACACACGCACACGCACACACATATACACATATAAGTATTGTTATTTTAAAAGAAAAGTAAAAAGCGCAGGGATAATTAATTTGTATGATAGTATAAAGTAAAAAAAAGAAAAAGGAAAGTATTCAGGAAGTTTGCAATTTTAGAAATTTCGTAAATGAAAATTTCAGCAGATGAAACTTTCTGGGTTTTCTTCAATGCATTTTCTAAAGATTAAGGAATTATTTCCATTTTTTGACAGATCTTCTTTTATCGAGCCACTTACTCTTACAATTCATTTTTTCGTTTGAAAAAAAAATAAAATAAAATGAGAAGACGAGAAAAAAAGTCCTTCCAAGAGAAAAGCAATCATGGCTATCTCATAAATGATGAAATGAAACTTGTTTTCCCATATAAAAAAAAATGTCAAAATGATAATTACATATTTTGAGTAGTTTAAAAGAAAACATTAAAGGGAAAAGGTAATTGTGAGATGAAGTCTTTTTCTTTCTTCATTCCATGTAATTAATTAGTTGATTAATTAATATCTCGTGAAAATATGAGCAAAAATATACAAATAACTACTTTTCATCATTTTGTTGTTTCGTAAATAATTTGTATGAATGAAAAAATTGATTGAACATCTTTTATGTTTTTTGTATTATTTCAAATTTTTCCCCGTGTACTTTCATTTTTCTTTTTTTTTTTTTTAAATGATGAAATAAAAGAATAGAATTTGTGATTTGGTACAGGAAGTACAAAATGATGACATGTTGAGTTGATGATTGATGGATGCTAAAAGATTCCCATATTTTTTTTTGACGTAAATATGGCCAATTGTTAAAAATTTGCATTTTTTTTTTTATTTGTTACTTTTCCAAAGAACAAAATATTAGAAGTGAATAAATTTTATCATCTAAATATTTTGAGATCAAATATTGACCAAATGATTGAATGCATCATCGTATGTATAAGTAAATTGGTGAAATTCCATATTCAAAAACGCCCAAAAGTGGAAATCATACAACAATGCTAATTTTTTCCAGGAAATCACTAGCATCGATAAAGAATGCATTATCTTCTGAAAGACAATAATAATGCAAAAATCAAGAATTCATTTTAATTATATGAAATGAAATTACGAATTCCAATTTAGTCTATAAAATTCACAATAGTTATGAGTATTCATCAAGTGTTTAATAGCTATTAAACTAGGAAATCCTCCCTTATAGATGACTTATACTGTATTAATTAGTAATTATTAACTTTTTGATTTCATTATTTATTATTGCAATTTTTTCTTTTTCAGAGAAATGTACAGTAAGTAATCTACCGTGTTCCATTTCCATACCAATACCGGTATGTTGTACAAATGGATTGCAGTACGTACTAGTTCATGTTCAAATGGTAACCATTCAACAACAATTTGTTTGGCTTCTTCTGAGACAATTTACGAAATTTTTTTTCTTTTAATTTGAAAAATCAAAAATTGAGAAAGCCTTTCAAGCATAATTTATATGTAATAAAACCAGAAGAAACCAAAAAAGAAAGTTGGAGGGATGTTAAAATAACACCAGTAAAATTGAATTTTATACACAAAAATCTATAGATAATATCAGATAAAGTAAAAGTGGCATGAGAATTTATTTAATGAAAATCAAATCGATATCATATGGATGATGGTGATGTTCTATGTGATATCATACTACGATATCAAATATGATATCGTAGTATGATATCGTTTTAATTTTTTTCCTCACATTTCCATATTAAAGTAAAAGTGGTATGAAAATGTAAATGTTTCAATTAACGATTTTGTTAATTTAATTTGTTAAGCTCAGTTCATTCATTATCAAAAATCAGGTAAACATACGGATAAAATATGAACACAAGAGATACTGTAATGTACCCTAAGAACCAATCGTAAAAATGAATGGTTTAAAAGTAACTAATCCGTGTTCTAAACCGCAATGTTACGTTCTTTTTTCAACGAATTTCTGTTTTCTTTGATTTCCAATTATTAATAAAATCTACTTTTTCAATAATTTATAATTTATTTCAAATTTTTACAAATTTTGGGTAACTCTATAGACTTATTGGCAATTAAAATTCATTTTACTAGCAGGATTAATTTTAGTACCAGTACTGAACTGATTGGTAAATGGAAAATAAAAATGGAAAAAATAAATGGAAAAAATTTATCAGCCACAACAGTTTCCGGAAAGACTGCACCTGAACCGGTATTCATTATTATTGGCTTATTATTACCATATTTCTTAGCAAGTGAAATAAATGGAGATGGAATATGCTAACTACATGTTCTGGAAAAACTTGGAATAAATTAGAATCAATTGAATTATTGTAATATTTCATTACCAGTCCTTCTCCTATATCAATTATTAAACATTAAAAGGAAGACTTAAACAGAAATTTGATAAATATAATTATAAATTGAAAGGAAAGTATATTTATTGATGAAATTATTAATAGAAACAACGAAGTTGCATGAAGTTAAATAATTACATATCATTTTCACCAATAATTCAACAGCGATGACAAAAGTCATCATTGTACATCGCACTATTTTAACGGATGAACAAAGTGGAGTAATATAATCCATACATTCTGAACTAATCATTTCAAGCAAATGATTCAAATTTTGTGTCAAATTTTTCCATCTCTCTGGATGGTGATTCTAACAATATGAAATACGCAAACCAGCGATCTCATGATCAAAATTTTTTTTTTTTATAAGATAAAAGTCACTGTACATCATTGCTATAATTATAAATTGTGGCAATATCTATAATTACAAATTGTGGTGAGTTATACAGTCACACATCGGAAGTGTGAATTAATTTTGATTTGTAAATAAACGTAACATTTTCCCTGATGAAATCTTACTGACATCCGTTTCACTGTAACGCAAATGAATGTTGACAATGCTTAAAAAGTAACGCTTCTTTATTTTGTTTTCATTTGTTTGGTTTTTTTGTTTTTGTCTTTTTTTTTCTCTTTTTTTTGATTAATTTATCCATTTATCATATACTATTAGTGTTCCACTTGAACATACAGTCACAAGAGCCTTTAATTTTTTAAATCATTGAATTAATGGAAATTTCAAAAAAGGAAAACACCCGGAACCAGTAACAAAATACTAATTATCGATTTCTTCAAATCAGTAAAAAAAAAATGGATGATTATCGTCGATGCCATTTTTGATCTCCAAACGTTTCGAAGTAAAAGGAATTCCGATTTAAAGGAAATGTCTCATACTCATTACCAATATTTCCTCTTCAGTATGTATAAACATGACTTCAATGCGTGCTGTGGAAGTATTCCTCATTCATTCATTACTCAATTTGCATAAAATGCAATAACCCTTGTTACTATTTATTTAACTTTGACATTTACAACTGGTAACAAAAACTACTCACAGAGAAAAACTTCTTTATTGAAAGATCTCAACTCTTTATGGTCAAATTTATGAACATGAGGCATGTGAAGTTAGATAAATAAATATCATTTAAGCTGACCTTCTTCTTTTCGAAATGAAATTAACAACTCGCCTTTTTTATACATCTAATAACGACGTATTTTTGGTCTCATCAAAATTTTCTTGGTTGTATAAGGACGTTTCCTGAAATGTTTTCGCTGATATTTGAAAAACCAATACATAAATACCAGAGTACTATATATAAATAAAGACTAACCGTTTCGGACCTTCGAAATTAAACGTCTTCCATTTTGGAACCTAAAATTTATTGTAATTTTATTTTGCAAAAGCTAAAGCTTCATAGTTTTCTTGTGGCTGATTATTCCGAATAAAGTGCTCCCCAAGCTAAATGCTTATTTAAATTAAACTCACCAATAATTAACTTGGCAGTTAATTAACGTGTTGGCAATACTCCTCAGAAGTGACTTTCATTCAAAAATAACCGTGGACTGATTTAAGCAAGAAAGGAAAAATCATTATTCTTTGGTTAAACCAAAGAAGAAAAAAAATTAATATTGAAACCTCACTGAATTTATACTCTGCGGCTGAACTGGAGATGCTGACCTAAAATGAAGCGTAGAAATAACTGAACCTTCTTTGCTTAGCTAAGGTTTCAAAAAATCATTAGGCATAGACATTCATTGCTTAGTAGAGGACCTATATACAGATATACTCATTGACCAATATTAGACCTATGATTTCGTCATTTGCAAAACTTTTCGGTTTTAACAAACACGATATTGAGGTGATTTCCATTCTCATAACAAAATACAAGCATGAAACCACTATTCTTTCACAATTATTCACTAAATAAATTTATTTCTATGCTGAAAAATTTATGTCATCGCAATATTCATAAACATTTACTTCTTTGCAGAAATTAACACAGTCTCTGGGAAAAATTCTTCGTTGAGCATATTTAAATCGACGGTGGAAAGTGCGGCATTATCATGAAAATTTCCATTATCTCTGCAAAATGAAAAGCCAGCAAAGTGTAGAGATTATTCCGATATTTCAAGTTCCTAATTCAAATTTTCCAGCAACAAATCATGAAATTTCAAATGGCTTTCAATTTTAAATTAGAAAGTGTTTGAACTGTAATTTCTATCTGAATCCTGTGGGGATGTTGAGTGCTCAAAAATAGACAGTACTTTTGACTAACGCTGAACGAAGTAAATGCTATAAGACAATAAATAACTTACGAATTCAATAAGTCTTTTACATGATAATTTGTTATTTGTCGGCTATCAACTTGCTGAACGGTAGTCACATTTTCAGGCCATTCGTAAGCTTCCAAGTCTTCTGGTAGTGCTAAAGCAATAAACCGTCTCTCTTTCAAAAATTCAGAAGGGTTTTCTGACAATTCTTAAAATTAAGCGGCAGGTTTCGCAACACAGCAATACTTATTAAATTACAATAAACGTTACGATGAATAAATAGTACACATGAAGAGCATCAAAATTCACCTTCAACAGATTCTGCTTGGGTCGAAGCATCTAGCGCTCTTTGCAAACTCAACAACATATCTTTTGAACAATTTAATTCTGTTAACTGATTTTTCAGTCGCACTAAAGAATGTGGTTCGGAATTAGTGGAAGATTGCAACTTCATTGCAAGAAATCTAACTGAATCCTGAAAGATAAAAAAATTGAAGTGGCATTATAAAACTAGCAGTATGACTTCATAATCAAAAATTTACATTTGGGAAGAGCGAAGTAAAAATATGAAGTGATAATCTTAGTTCGCAAAAATGAAATGATCGACTTCTAATTTATTTTAGTTTCCATCTACATGCACTGACACCTTTAATAACACATTTGAGAGAACATACTATAGCAGATGAAATGTAATTTAAAAAAGAGATAGATTTTAATACAATTAAATTTGAAATCTACAAATAACCTACTGCTTCACTTACTTTTTTTAAAACGTTTTCGAAAAGATCTACGAGCTGAGTTGCCAGTTCAAACAGTAGTTTGTCAATCGGTTCTCCCATTAAAACGCGATCCATAAGACGCAACAGAGCGCCCTCGTTACTGATCACAGCATTATTAATCTATGTAAAAACAATGAGAATTTTCTAATGGGCTAGAAAATAACCATAAAAATTTTGAAAAAACAGCATTGTTTAATATCATTCGCTAATTCATTTTTATTGAAATCTACAGACTTGAAAAAAAAATTGAGAAAAGAAAGCTGCTATATTCGAGTTTTCTGTTTTTGAAAAGCAGCTTAGTGCTTTGGATAATCGCTTATCGATCACCGTTTTGTCCAGGGAATTATTTCAACCTTCACTGAATGTGAAATTTTCAAACATTTAAAAATTAAAAATCTCACCACAGCACGGCCAAATGCTGAGGAATGTCCTATGCTGCAAACGCTTTCCATTGCTAGCATTATCGTTTCTATATTATGTTGCCCGTTTCCAAAATGTTCCACAAGATTATCGCATATTTTGATATAAACATCACGAGGCAAACAATCGATTTTTCCATCAAAGTTATTGTCAGCAATGCAAAGATTACGGAAAATTTTCTAAAAGACATTAAAAAAACTAGAAAATCACCGTTAAAATTAATAAGTTTTATTGCTTTATAGGAATACTGAAACAAAAAATTAATTAGTTTCCATGACCGATGGTTTAAAAAGAAAATATATAAAAATAGCGATAAGAAAGCGATTATTCATACGATGTAAAGTAAAAAATTAAGGGACTAGAGACTTACAAAAGGAAATGTATGCTGCATTTGTAAAGATAAGAGTTGAGCAAAAGTTTTAAACAACCAACTAAACATATTATTCCTATCGTTATCTATGATAAATATGGATTATACTGATATTAAAGGTAATGAAAATTTGCGAACTCACAATGACGTGTGTTTGGAACGAAACGTGAGGTGAAGTTTTCGGACTGGCTAGTTTAAAGAACTTCAGCAATGTGGGAATATAACTTCTGCGCTGCGAAATTATGATAACCATAGAATTTCGAAGCATAAATTCTCCGGAACAGGTGGCTAAAAATGCATAAAATGAAGCCGTCACAAGATCGACGGCATTGCCAAAACGAACATTTGATTCCTCCTCCACAATATCGTCCTCGAAAGCGTCAATGACAGCCGTATGTGCCGAAGACGTTAACATTCGTAAGCTCTGCTTTATAAGAATACTATAACAAAAAACCTGATCAATTTTCATGATTAATTGCGATGAAGAGGATGAGGTGTATAAGATAATAAAATTATACCTAAATATAAATAAATGGGAAAGGACAGAATATATTAATAAATTTCAAATATAAAATGTATTTCAGAAACATAGGCATGATAAAAGTGAAGAGTTCAAAGGAAAAAATATAATTTGATCTTCTAAAGAAATCTTCTAAAGAAAAATCTTCTAAAAGAAAAATACTAAAGAAAATCTTCTAAAGAAAAACCAAAACCTGAACAGAGACCAACAGGTCTATATTACAAAAATAAGCACTCCCATAAGCACTTGACAGTTATTTTGAAGAAACAACAATTTAATTAACAATTTAATAGCATTTGTACTTAATAGAAATTCACTCACTCAATTAAGCACAATGCATTATTCTCGGAACAATATGCCAAGCGTTTAAAAAGGTCGAATAAACGTCGTTTCAATCGCTGTGAGGACGAGATACCCAACTGGAAAAATAAGTGGTAAGTAGACAATAATGGTCCGAATCAGACAAACAAAAGGGATAAGGTTGGGAGACAAGAATATTTCAGTCTTCATAAAAAAGACAATTATAACTAGAAAAGGCTCTCACACAAAAATATCATAAATTTGATATATCTAAATTGAACAATAACCATGATCGCGAATTGCAGCTGTTTTTCATGCTCTAAAATACGATCGCTCCATAATTTTTCCACTGAAGTTATCTCCTGCACATTAATGCCAATAACGTTTGCCAGTAAATCCGATGGAAGCGGAAATAATTGCAATAAAATATCCAACGTAGCAAAGAAATTTGGAGGCCTCTCAAATCCAGAATTCAAAAAAAGCTCCAAAAATGACCGTTGACCAGCTCTCCGTAATCCCTGTCGATCTGATAGGATCGGAAAAATAAATAATGCAATTGAATTTATAATGGTTTCTCTGACTATGCGATCGCTAGATGCTTCATCCATGCAACAAAGTGTATACGTCCTCAACAAGGTATCTATGATCAGCTTATCAGGATTTTGATTGATAGCTTGCAAGGACGATAATAACTTGCACATAATATTTGCTGCTGAACGAACAAACTGGCAATAAATGTATGAATCACCGGTAAGTGCGGTACATCGATAATGTACTCGTTTGCTCTGTTCAGTGTTTGCTACCTATAAATCGAGCAAATTTTTTGCAAAATTTAAATGAAATTTCCAAAGCTATCCCAAAACTTTGATCCTAGAATTCAAATGAAAAGATATTATAATCCGTCCAGTATTTCTCTCAAAAAACTTACATCTAAAACGTTTCTGATTTTCTCTAATCCATCATCTTCATAAAATTTTGCGTAGTAATCAAAACGAATTTCATCGGAAGAAACATCAAATAATGTTGCATCTTCTGGCTCATCCAAAACTGCATCAATTAGACGGAGTACAGTTACCAATGCTAGCGGTGGATCACCCTCCACATATTTCTCACTGTGATAAGTTAGTCTAAAATAATGATTAAACCAACAAAATGGTTAACATAATGCCGAGAAGTCATCTCATACATTTTGCATGTAACTACATCAATGCCGCAGAACGCGTTGAACAGTTCGATCTAAATGTCAATTTTGTTTCACATGACTTTCATTTTGTACAAGAAATGTGCTACATCTATTTTTGTCATTCATTTAAATCTTAAATTTCTTGCTCTTCGTCTGTTTCACCAGATTTAAAAATATATTCCATCTATTTTCAACATCCATTCAAATCCTAAATTTCTCGCTCTTTGTCTTGTCCTACCAGATTTAAAATCAGCTAAGACAAAGAACTTAACATCCAGCTTCAATTATCCTAACAAACCAATTTTACATGAGTTTTAGAATTTTCAAACCTCATTGTAAGGAAATTTAATGTGTTTATATTCCTGCCAAGTGCTAATTCCTCTCGAAATGGTTCCAACCAATGTTTCAATGATGTCGCAGCTGAGATGAGATTACAATCGATTAGTTTAATAATTTCTGGACCATGCATTCTCCAAAACATTCCATCAGACTGGTTTCGTGCTAGTGCAAACAGAATTTCACACAAATATCCGTAAGTAGCAGTTTGTCTGAAGCGCGTTTTAATATCATCAACGATATGCCCCTCAGGTGTTAATATTGACTTCTGAAGATCACACATATGTAACAAATGTTTTGGATTATCTCCAAATGATAATGCGGAAATCATCGCAAGACGTCCCTCCTCGACTAATAACATATGCAACATATTTTGCAGAATAGTTACACGCTCAGGGACATCGATCACAGGAACACACCTGAAATTACTAAAGTGAGATGATATTTTTCAAGTTGAATTTGGACAGAGCAAATTTATCAATTTAGGCAAATCAAATTCTGGAAACCCATGTACTAAAGAAACATTTGAATATTTAAATTTAATTCGATTTAAAGTAAAAATGAATTCAAATGAGAAACAATTAAAACTTACTTCTCATTAGAAGCAGCGAGCTTATCAACTAGTACTATTGCTCGCAATGCGTAAGGCAATAGTGACTTTTCTTTGCTATCTTCCTAAAAATAAATTTTATTACTCCATAGTTTTTGAAAAGCGATTTATAAATGTTGAGATGAAACTCAATGTAAATAAGGCTACCTTTGTAAAAACTTTTATAAGATAATGATGCGACTTCTTATTATTCTAATGATAAGAGTTACAAAAACCATTAATTTGTTTTTTAAAAATTTCGTTTTAAAAACATATCTGAATAATTTGAAAAGCCGAAAAGTTTGCAAGACGACGTGTTAAACATTTCTGAGCAATAATCAGACGGCAATGCTGTGCAGTGCAATACGAGTAAGTTATTTGTCAAGCAAACTTCTTTTTACAACTCATGGCTAACTTCAAAAACTAATGAAAAAATAGTTTTCTAAATTGAGTAAAGACAATTTATTCAGTAAGAAAAAAAGACAATTTATTCAGTAAGAAAAAATCAAAACTACCGAAAGTTGCTGTAATAATCGTCCAACTAATGATACTGTTTGTGCACCCATATGTGAAAGGAAAACCGCTCCAGTAATATCAGTGCCATCGAAATCGCATAATAACTGGAGACAACGAATTGCTAAATATCTTATTCTCGCATCCTGACTGGGTGATGCAACATGCGCACAGACATGCGGAATTAAACAACTGAAAAAGGAATATCATATCAGAGAATAAAATTAAAGGAAAATGCTGAGTGGAAGACATTTAAATTTTATAATCGAATCATAAATAAAAATTTGAAGCAAAAGACCATTTTGTGATTATATCTGTGCAACCCTTCAAAATGTTTGAATTTGAATGTAAAATAACTGATTTCACAATTTTTCACGTTAGAAACATTTTATTGAATACATTTGTCAATTTAAGTATGGAACAAAAAATCCGTTTATATCTTCGACATGAAAGGCAGCACATTAGAATGTGAAGTAAAGCTACCTCATATGTAATCACTGAATCACTGATGTAATCTCTACATCTCATTAGAGACATATTTGTAATTGTAATCTCTGCAGAATGATAAATTTTTGAAAATCACGATAAAAATCATAGCGAGTAGCATTAATTTTTACAATCCTTACTTTTCCACAACAGTTCGATGTGCAGTGCGTGACATATAACTGAAATCATCCCTTATTTTCGAAAAGAAGTTGTTCAGAATTTTAAAGGATGAGAACAGCTGAGTAGTATCAACATCAACATCACAGTCCTCTTCCACAAATAGTCTTTGTGTGCAGTTGATTATAACATCAGTGTTGTATTTAAATGCAAAATAACTTGCGATTTTTTGAAGCACCACTAACAAATCCAACGGAACATCCTGCTAAATACCTAAGTGTAGAGAAAGGAATGATGATGGCTTATTTACTTGTATATCTCCATGTACACAATATCACTTTTACCTCAATCAAAACCTTGCACTTTCATTTCTTTTCAAAAAATTACTGCGATAAAACTGCAATGAAAATTGCTAAATCTTTCGAAATTAAAACAAAAAAATTAAAACTCAAATAAACTTCATCAACTAAATTGAAAAACATGATAACCACTTGAGAAATAATAAATGCAAACCTCCGGTTTCATAAAAAGATGTATGATTTGCTCGTATGGCGTGTATTTATTCCCTTCAATTTCTGTCGCCATAAATTTCCAGGATATCGATGGATGAAAAAGAATGCCTAGCAATGCTTGCGCAGCTTCGCATCTTGTTGATGAGTAATGTTGCTTAGAAGATATGATATCCATAATATAATGCAAATATTTGGAAGTCTGAAAACCAATTATTATTTTCTACTGTTTTTCCCATGTTCGAAATGTCATAAACATGTTTTTATAGCAGTAATCAATCTCGACAATAAAATCAAGGAACTAAATTAAATGAAACTATTAGTTCGATCAGTAAATAATTCAATGCAATTGAATAAGCATACACAAAATGTCACGCTCAGATCCTTTTCATGCATAGCTGACAGCTGCTTGGTTAGACTACAACCGATCATAATCATTTGATTGTTTCCCGCATATGATATGGAATGGTTTGAGCTAAGTCCAAATTCAACCCATCTTGCTAATTCAATATCCATTTCACGTACCTTTTCTGAAACTTGTCGTAATCACATAATAAAAATTAGCGATTATCAAGATGACGAGGCATGTGAGTGCTATAAAAAAGTAAATCCTATCAACACTAATTTCATCATTCAAAAAATACCAAATCAGCACCACCTGCAACCGCCAATTCACTTATGGCATTCAATACCTGTAAATGTACTCGCATGTTATTTCATCATTCAAAATTCCAAATCCATTTATAAACTTCAAAGTACATGCAATAAACAAACTATTAAACCTGCACGGTCACATCCACATGACTGATTTCGGAGCTTAATTTTGGTACTAAAGCTGTCAGTATTGGATTCATATACTAAAGTTTATTTCTTGTTTAAGACTTTCAAATTTTGGCAGTTCAATATTAAATTACAAGTA